CCCCCCCCCTTCCCCCCCCCCCCCTCCCCTTAATCTGGCCCTTAATCCAGCTTTTGGGTGTGCATCACGTATTTGAATCCACGTGCCCTCTTGCGGGCGAGGCAAAGGGGGCATCCGCAGCTCAAGGAATGAATGCACTGCATTGGGGGGGGGTGCGCCGCAGCTGGTGGCTCTGCCTTCGAACTTCGAACCAACAAAATCAAACAGCAGTCCGCGCTGCCAATATAGGCCGAGAGCGTTTGGAGAGATGAGGCGGGAGCGATCCGCCGCACCGCTGTTCGCAACCTGCTGCTACCTCTGGCCTCATTTATGCACGACCGCGCCGCCATATGGTGAGAGAGTGAGAGAGCAGATAACAGGCTGCTTGCTGTACATGTTACTTACCCTAGATCCTGGGGTAAGGGCGCTGCCTCTATTCTTCGCGAGCTCTTCCTCTTGTCAACCTCTCTCTACAACCGCGAGGGTTTTGCAACCACAAGGGAGATGAAGGCACCAGACGCTAGATGCGCATCTTGGTTGGTCATAGCCCGCACGACGTCACTGCTAAAATCATAAGCAACAAGAACGTAGCACAGCCAGTTTTTGCGCAGAAGAGAGTCGACGGAGAACGCGCACGAAGTCATCCCGATTCGGCGGCTAGCAAAGAGGAAAGCATGAAAGTTCATCCGGGATCTCCCGTCCCCTCTCATGCAGCAGAAGATTTGCACACCTTTGTTTTCCTACCGCAGCCGATGTGCAGCAGGCATGCCGCCAGCAGTCGAAGCTGCCGTGTGTGCATCCCGCTAGTCCCCGTCACAGCACGCTCACGGAAAAGCGCCCGCGCCACAACACAGACCGTAACATCCGCTGCCAACAGGGATCCTGCCGCACACCAAGCAAGCGACCACCGCCGCCGTCCCGTCTACTGTTATACCACCACCCCGACAGTCACTCTTGGGCCAAGAATGGTTATTAAGGCTGTCGGCCCTCCCTTTTCTCTCGGCCGATGTACCCTCTAACAATGGTTTTGGGATGATCATGCAGAACAAATTCAAAAGTTTTTCCCGCGCGGACTGACCGCTGTAGCTTACACTCCACGTGCAGGGGTTGCGGCATCGGAACCGTTTCGTCCAGAGCTTGACGAAAATGTATCGATCGGTTAGTACATCCTCTTTTCATCGTTGAGTGACCCAGTTCTGAAAATCGGTCCAGGCAGGGGGTGTCATATCTTGTGTCACCTACGGTAAGTGCAGTGACGGATCTCTAGGTGCATACCGTATATGACACAAGATAACACACCCCCTTGGCCGATTTTCAAAGCTCGATTTCTCAACAGCAGGAAGAGTCACAGCGCCGAAAACGGCGGCGTTGGAACCGTCTCGTCGAGAGCTGTTCGAAAACGTATTGTTTCATTTATGCATCCTCTTCGTCGTGGAGTAATCGAGCTTTGAAAATCGGTCCAGGGGGTGTGTTATCTTGTGTCATATACGGTAGATGATATTGATGCTGAGCGTTTCCATAGGCTGTACCCATATCTGTGGTATCTTTTGACACTAACGTCAGTCTCATTTTTGCCTCCACCTCCCAATCTGTCTGCGCATGTACCTGCACCATGGTGCCTATCTCGTATGCATATGTATTTCCGTTTGATCCATCTCTCTCCACGCCCCCCCCGACCCCTACCTCTCTCTCGCCTACCGCCGTGTCGACTGGACGATGCACGCCCGACGCGTGAACCGAAATCCCCGTATCCTATTACCACGACCATCATCACCACTACTACCACCCACACTTTGACCGTTTTTCCGGGGCTCCCAGCGTCCGCGGCGACTTCGACAACAGCCTTCACAGCGTTGTCGCTCGACGGCAGCAGTCTCAGACACCCGTCCCCAGGACAATATCGCCGAGGCGGCGGGTACACCTACCCGCCCCCCCCGCCCCCTTCGAATCGGCGGAGACCCCGTCCTTACGAGACCGCTTTTGCCGCCGGTGGTATGGACGGGGGGGAGGGGTCGGCGGCGGGAGGGGCGGCGACGGGGAGGTTGGCGCTGAGGGGGCCTGTCTTTGATGTGCTGACGCCGTTTACGGGCGAGGGAGAAGTGGACTTTACCGCCTTCGGGGACTACTTACAGGTACGGAGTTGCTGTCGCTGCCGCTGTGGCAGTGGTGATTGGTGTGGTGAGGGAGAGCGCGTTGGTGGTCTGTCTCTGGTGCTGTTGCTGGTGCTGGTGCTGTGGCTTTGGTGGTCGGTGGTGAGCTAGAGCGTTGGTGGTCTGTTTCTGGTGGTGTTGCTGTCGTTGGTGCTGTGGCAGCGGCGATTGGTGGCGAGCTAGAGTGTGTTGGTGGTCTGTTTCTGGTGTTGTTGCTGCCGTTGGCGCTGTGGCAGTGGCGATTTGGTAGTGATGGTGATGCCAACGTTGCCACTGCCGTCGCGGCTTGGTGCCCTTTGCTGCGCTGGTCGTGCCAACCACCCTCTTCCTCCTGTTTGCGTTTTTCGTCAGTTCCTGTCCGAGGCTGGCGTGCCTACCATACTGTGCAACGGAGAGGCGGGGGAGTTTGCCTCATTGACGACGGGCGAGCGGAAACTCATCGTAGATTTCGCGAGGAAAACCTTTTCGGGTGAGATTGGTTGGTTGGGGGTCGGGGTGTACTCATAGTCGTCCCTGCCGTAGTCGTTAGACCCTTGACTTCGCATCCCCACAAAGCCGGGACGGAGCACGCCGGGTTTTCACCGGATCAGCCTAGCACATCACCAAGCTGGGCGGGGGGGAGGGCGGGGGGGGTCCTGGTAGAGTTGCATGTCGGGGAAAAAAATAGTTGGGGGGTGGGGGGAGGGGGAGGGTAGTTTCGTAACGGTAGCCGTTGCATGCTGCGTGGTGATGTTTTTATGTAACCATGTTGAAGCCGTGTTTTTGTTTCGGTGTTCCTATTATTTTTGTTGGTCGTTATGGCGATTGAATTCTCTTGGTTCGTTTCTCTTGGCGTCTTGTGTGTGACCCCGGCTATTACGTCGAACGTCGCGTATGCACCGAAAGACCTAGGCTGGCGCCAGAAGAGATGCGATGGACGCATAACACACATGTTGCAATGCTTTCGGTGTTGGTATTGCCATTGCCATTGTCTCTCGTTGCCGCTTTCTCGTCCTCTACAGCCCCCCGACGGACGTTGACGTAAGTCAAAGACGTCAATTTAACATTCCGCTCGAGTCACCCCTTCCCTCCCTATCCCCCCTGCGGTTCCGTGTGCAACATCGCGTCCGTACGCCTCCTGCGCCTTTCGTGTTGTCCAGGCACGGTGCTGAACCACGTGAGCGCGTCGGCGCTTCCTGACGTGACGCAACTCATCTCTCACAGCTCTGGCAAGGTACGCTCCACGTTTTTTCTCTGTTGTGTGTTGCTGTGTTCCTTGGCGTCCGTTGCTTGGGTTGTTCCATTTCCGTGAGAATTATAGGTGTATCCATGACTTGGAAAAAACTGCCCCGGAGGCAGTAGCAGCGGCAACGCGATCTCGCGTTTCCATTTTTTTTTTTAACTTGTGTGTGTTGATTGCATCACGATCATGTGGTTGTGCACAAACAAACTTTTTGAGCGCCACCGTATGCGTGCGTCAAGGTCCGCTCGCGTTTTTACCCCCGTTCTCTCGCTCTCTTTCTCTATCTATCCCTCTCGCTCTCGCTCTCCCTCTCGTCTCAAACAAGCTGAAACCTCTGTAGTGGCGGTTTGATGACCTGCTAAAGAATGTGAAGCCGAGTCTAAACTGTCTTTCGCCACACGCGTTCTTCCCCTCCTGTCCTGTCCCCGCATCGACTTCGGTATTTGATGCTTACATATTCGTGTTTCAGGAGAGGCTATCGCTATAACCCGAAGCAAGAGAGTAGAACGCTCCTGTTTCCCCTCCCTTCTTATCTTCTCATCTAGGGCCAAGTCATGCCAAACCCTCTCCCCCGGACCGCCTTCGCGAGGATTTTATTTTGTATACTTCAATGTGAAAGAGAGAGGGGGGCTTCGTAACCCTAACCCTTGCCCCCAACCCACACTTGTAAACCCTACAATAAACAAGCTTAGCCAACCTTAATACCCTCGCGAAGGCTACCGACTCCCCAACGCTGCCTGGGTTGCTGTTTTTCTCAGTCCGGCGGCGGCTCCCGCACTCTGGCCGACGCGGTTCTCGTGATGCCCCCGTGCTCCAGCTTCGGGGGTTACCCAGGAGGAAGAGAGACGGAGAGGGGGGGGGACGAGCGAGGAACGGAGGCGTTTCTGCGGAAGGCGCTCGGGGGGTGCCAGCTTCCCGTCTTCCTCTACAGCGCCGCAGGTGCACAGGTTGGCTGGGGGTTGGGGGAGGTAGAAGTCAGGGGCACCACAGATGTTGTCGAGAGCAGAGAGAAGAGGAGGGAGGGATTGGGGGTGACGTGAGATTGGACGGCCGTGAGTCGTACCTACTTCAGGAGACAAGTACACGAGGAGGGACGTACGTACGTACGTAGGTAATGCACGTGGGGTACTCACAGTGTTCTTCGTGCCCATTGCGGTTGCCCCGTCGGGCCTAGCAACCGCACAGAGCCCGAGTAGGGTAAGAGGAGGTGGGGAGAGAGGCGGGGGACTGTTGTAGGTGGCTTTTCCGATGTCGTGAAAGCTGCGTGTAGCTTAAGCGTGCAGGTCTACAGTACCCTTGGCGGTGATGGTTGTGGGTGCGGAAGACGGAAACATCCCAATCTCCACTAGGTGGCCGTGACAGCGGCACCCACGAAATAAAGAGGACGAGTGTTTGTGTGTAGCGGAATTTAGGGAGTATCATGTGAACTACTTTGCAAAGTCGTCAATACTTGAGTGTTCCAGAATGCTTTCAAGCTGATGGTGACTGGGTAAAAACAGAGACACAGGTGTGAGGGCAGATTACCTTCATTGAAGGCTCTAGACGTTCGCCACAATATACAGTTCGGGTTGGAATGGCGGTGTGTGAGACACACGAGGCTGTGCTTGTTGCTGTGCTCGTGGCACGCCGCCTGCTGTGGGGTGGCACACATGCACAGGTCTGAGCGGGCACTCTCCACCCACTTCGATCCAAGACCCTCCTTCCGAGTAGGCTCGCATGATGATGTGCTACCTGTTGCTCGCATTTCCCACTCCGTTCCCGTGCCTTGTTGGACCTTCGTCGTACGAGGATTGCTGAGCCCACTGAAAAGTGCTAATGAAATCTCAATGTAGAAGCGATACATGATCGGGACTCTTCAACAGCTCAACCCCCCCCCCCACCGAATCTCCGTCCTCTTAAGGACGCGTGGCCAATGGTCTAACAACTAAGGCACGCATGACATGGTACGCCCCCCCGTACGCCCCCCCCCCCCCCCCCCCCGGCCGGGTGGGGGCTGGAAAAAACCAACCCCCCCCGGTTTTTTACCCCCCCGGGGGGGGGATATTCCCCCCCGGGGGGGGATTTTGGGGGGGGGCAAAAAGGGCGCCAAAAGGGGGCCGGGGGGCCCCCTTTTTTTA